AAGAGGCTTTTTTGTGCGTCTGGACAAGATACACGTACCACAGAAAATTCGTGCACGTAGGTAAAACGTGCGGCGGGGGCTGCTTCGTTAAAAGTCACTTCCTGTTGCCAGCAGGTGGCGCTATGACTGTCTGTGAATGTCAGCATGTACATGTGTTCAGGGCGGGACTCTCATCCTACATGTACAGTTTGGTCCAGATGTGAGCATGTACACTGAAGTTACGACAACTTCCGTGTCATGGCGAAGAGCTGATCTTTGACGCCACGCCACGGACACGCCCATTGACGAAAACTTGCAAATAGCACAACTTTTCATCTTCAATGCCTTTAGAAGGCACAGCACAAATTTGAGGTCGGTCGGACTAAATCCCTAGGAGGAGTTCGTTAAAGTACGAAGTGTGTAAATCATCCAAAATTTGACGTAAAATTCAAAATGGCCGACTTCCTGTTGATTTTAGGCTATGGCTCCAAGAGGCTTTTTTGTGCGTCTGGACATGATACACGTACCACAGAAAATTCGTGCACGTAGGTGAAACGTGCGGCGGGGGCTGCTTCGTTAAAGGTCACTTTCTGTTGCCAGCAGGTGGCGCTATGACTGTGGGTGAATGTCGGCATGTACATGTGTTCAGGGCGGGACTCTCATCCTACATGTACAGTTTGGTCCAGATGTGAGCATGTACACTGAAGTTACAACAACTTCCTGTTTCATTGCGAATCATCGACGCCACGGACACGCCCATTGACGAAAACTCGCAAATAGCACAACTTTTCATCGTCAATGCCTTTAGAAGGCACAGCAGAAATTTGACGTTGATCCGACTAAATCCCTAGGAGGAGTTCGTTAAAGTACGAAGTGTGTAAATCATCCAAAAATGGCCATAAAATTCAAAATGGCCGACTTCCTGTTGACTTTAGGCTATGGGTTCTTGAGGCTTTTTTGTGCGTCTTGATACGATACATGTCCCCAGAAAATTTCGTACATGTAGGTTGAACGTGAACGAGGGGCTAATCATTTCCAATTTTCAAGGTGGCGCTAGCGAGTCATTTTGCCACGCCCATGTGCGAAACTTGTAGAATACGAAATTTTTCACCGGTTCTGACATGTTTGCAAATTTTGGTGAGTTTTCGAGTATGTTTAGGCCATGTCATTTGGGCCTACTTTGCAGAAAAAAAAAAAAAAAAAAAAAAAAAAAAAAAAAAAAAAAATATATAATCCGAGCAGATTCAATAGGGACCTCGCACGGTCGTGCTCGGGCCCTAATAATAATGATAATCCGAGCAAATTCAATAGGGACCTCGCACGGTCGTGCTCGGGCCCTAATAATAATAACTAGAACTGCAAGCAGTTGTAAGCGGTGTCCAAGCCTCCCGGCGCGAGCTGCCCCCCCCGGCCCCGCCGTCGTGCCGCATAAGGTCCCCACATTTGGTGTTGATGGGCCGTACCAAACAGAGGCAATTGTCCTTTGCCTTTGAAAATGCCATAGGAATGAATGGGATTTAGTGAGAGATTTGAGCTTCGCTTTTAGCGCCATCTGTTGGCTGAATTGCACCAAAATTGTCATGTGTGATCAGGGCCCCATGGGGAACAATTGCCCCAAATTTGGTATCAATCGGAGATGTGGTTGTGGAGATCTAAAATGCATGTATGTTTATGGGATTTTAATAGCGCCAACTAGGGGCTAACTGTACCAAATTTTGCACAGTCCCTCAGAGGGGCATGCCACATAAGGTCCTCAAGTTTTGTGTTGATCGGCCTTTCCATGCCTGAGATATGTCATACTTGCTGTTTTTAGCGTTTTCGCAAATATTTGTTAGCTTGTAATTGGGACATTTTTTGTCGGATTAAAATTACCCCTACAAACTTTCTTCAGCTCAGTCCAGAGATGGTCCGTGCCAAGTTTTGTGTCGATCGGAATTGCTGGTTCGGAGGAGTTAATTAAAATAGGTTTTCGCAATTTCGCAAAATGAAAACGCCATCGCACAGAGGCGTGTCCTATACCATTGGAATCAGCAGCATCCCCCAAACACGTAGATGTAAGGTTTATCAATGTGCAATGTAGTGAGCCGTAGTTATCCTGCAAAATGTCCTTTGTTTGAAAATCCCATTGAAATGAATGGGGTTTTTGTGGTTCGATTATAGCGCCACCATTTGGCCGAATTGAACAAAATTTTTCAGGTGTCATCAGGGCCCCATGGGGAACAATTGACCCAAATTCGGTGTCAATCGGACTTGTGGTAATGGAGATATAAAATGCATGTTAGACAATGGGATTTTTTTTCACGTTTTTAATATGCAATAACAGCGCCACCTATGGGCATATGTGGCTCGATCCCCCAAACGCGTGGATATAAGGTTTTTGATATCCGCCTCCGTATGCGGGAGTTACAGCGATTTGAAAGTGCCAAACTTTGGACTTTGCTTGTAGCGCCCCCTAGAAGTGAAGGTAGAAGCGTGCAAAATTTTTTGCCTGCCGTCGTCTCATGGGGAACAATTGCCCCAAATGTGTCTGTAGCACTTACCGTCTAGGCCGCAGTATTGGAATTAGGCGAAAACCTATGGAATAAAAATAATAAAAATCCTAACGATTACAATATTGTACTGCTTCAGGCTTGGACGCCTAATAATAATTGAAGCTGCAAGCAGCGTTGGGCGGGCCCTCGCACTGAGTTGATCTTTGATGCCATGCCACGGACACGCCCATCGACAAAAACTCACAGACAGCACAACTTTTCATCATCAGTGCCTTTAGAATGCAAAGTAGAAAATTTAAGTCAATCCGATTAATTCCCTAGGAGGAGTTAGTTAAAATAGGGACATTGTAAAAGGACATAAATTGGCTGTAATTGCACCTTCAAACCAGTTTTGAAGCATGTGAGGCAAATATGTTGGGAGCAGTACATAACAGCGTAAAACTTGACACTTCCTGTTGCCAGCAGGTGGCGCTATGACATTGTGTGTTTGTTGGCATATGGATGTGTTCAGGGTGGGCCTGTCATCCTACATGTACAGTTTGGTGCAGACAACTTCCTGTTTCATCGATTTTGGACGCTACGCCACAGACACGCCCATTGACAAAAACTCACAGATAGCACAACTTCTCATCGTCAATGCCTTTAAAAGGCACAGCAGATATTTGAAGTCGATTGGACTAAAGCTTGATTAATACTCCTGCGTAGGGTCTACGTGTGTAGCTACACCGTAGGCTACGCACATAGCCAGGCATTTATACTTGTGCGTCCGTCAGACTGCAATTATACACCCAAACGCTAATCTGCAGTAGCGGTACAGTGTCCACTGTATTGACTTTGCCGGCCGAGCAGGTTAACTTCCGGTTTAGCTCTCCGCTAACGTGAATGGGGATAAAATTGTAAACGTGCGGCTGGTACACCCATTTCAAATGTTATCGACTGAATGTATCACATCCTGATAATGAAACGAGTCATTTCGCTCGGGTTGTGACGGTCAAATATATTGATGCACCGTGTTACAGCCGCCATTTTGGCTGCTAGTAAAAGTTACTTCAAAACACGGGCACTTCATGTCAGCTAGGAGGCATTGCGAGGCTACCCAGCTGACCAATCATTGAGCTTACGGTCCGCGACGCCTCGACTTGTAGTTACATTTTTTAGGAGGTGCACATCAGGCTAAGCCGTAAGTGACAGCGTAGGGTAGGGAGCTGCGCAGAGGCTACGCCATCGATTTGACGCAGAAGTATAAATTGCACTTAAATCCCTAGGAGGAGTTCGCTAAAGTACGGCGCGTGTAAATCATCCAAAGATGACCGTAAAATTCAAAATGCCCGACTTCCTGTTGGGTTTAGGGCATCAAGAGGCTTTTTGGTACGTCTGGATATGATACATGTGCTACAGAAATGTCATACATGTAGGTAAAACGTGCCTGTTGCCAGCAGGTGGTGCTATGACTATGGGTCAATGTTGTCTTGAACATGTGTTCGGGGTGGGACTCTTGTTAAACGTGTAAAATTTGGTACAAATCTGAGCTTGTACAGTCAAGTTACAACAACTTCCTGTGTCATGGCGAAGCGTGGGGCTTTGCTGCCATGCCACCGCCACGCCATCCCCACGCCACGCCACCGCCACGCCGTTAACCGAAAACTCACAAGTTTTACATCATGGCTTTATCAATGTGTTAAGGGTTTTCTGGGACAGTTTTGTAGTTGATACGTCCAATCTGCTTGGAGTAATACATTACAGCGTAAAATGTGTCATTTCCTGTTGCCAATAGGTGGCGCTATGACTTCAAGTGAATATTGGCATATGGATGTGTTCAGAGCAGGACTATTGTTATACTTGTGTGATGTGATTAGGTGTACTGAAGTTATAACAACTTCCTGTTTCATGGCGAATCACCAATTTTCGATGACACGCCACGGGCAAACTGGTCGACTTGTAATAACCGTTTGAATAATTTTTAATCGTCAGTGGATTTAGACTGGACATCAAAAATTTGAAGTTGATCAGACTAATTCTCTAGGATGAGTTCATTAAAGTACAAAGTGTGTAAATCGCCAAAAATGAACATTATATCAAAAATGTCCAACTTCCTGTTGGGTGTCGGGCATCGCTCCAAGAGGCTTTTTAGTATGTCTTGATATGATACATGTGCCACACAAATTTCGTAGACGTAGGTGAAACTTTTGCCAGGGCTGCTCTATAGGGGGCGCTAGCAAGCCATTTTGCCACACCCATGTGCGAAACCCATAAAATATATTTTCCACTAAGATTGCCAGTTTGATTTGGGAACAGCATGATCTAAATAATACAGCTACATAATAACCGCCATATGCAGTTACTGAAGTATATGCCACAGTGAAATAAGTCCACTGAAAGAAGATGCTTATGTTAGTCATCTCAGAAATTCTGTACTGATTCTGTATCTGATGTTGTAAATGCTCACATCAGATCGTGATCAATCACTGAAAAAGACTCCATTATGCAAAGAGAGGATTTCCCATGACACTGTTTTGTTTTCCTCTGTAGGTCCTTCTTCCCCGTAGCCTTGGGAGTTGTGCTGTCAGTTGTGAATGTCCCTTTCCTAAATGCAGTATGTTTTGTTTTTGGCTCATTAGATTAACACTTTTAAAGATGACATTTGAAATACCTCATTGACGCCACTAAATGGTCAGGTTGTTTCCTTTATTGAAATCTTTTGTTTTTCTTGTTAGTTTCTCTCCAGCAGCTCTTCCATGGTGTGAGCAGAAAAACATGTTGCAGCAGTTAAGGAATGCTGGTTGCCCTTTGACTGACTGTGATCCCCTCTGTGTGGGCAGAGGGGAAGATCTCGGGGATAACGGCTCCATAACTCAACTATTGTTGTTTGCATTTATTTTTTTTTACAATGTACTGTATTTACGACCATATAAGGTTACAATAAATAACCAAGCAGTCAAATGCTACTTAAAAACTATTCTAACTTAAAACCTTTGTTTTCCAGTTTTCCATCTAATTTTGCTATAATTTACTGTTTTAATTAAACCTCTTAATATTTTGTTATGGTGTTAAATAAAAAAGTCTCTACATTGTTTGACAGTTTCACATACTGTATAATATTCCATGTGGGTGCGTTTATGGGACCATCAATCCACCTGTTACAAAAAAGTAATATTTAATGATAAGCTGCATGTGCACTAGTTTAGCTAAATAAGTAATGTTATTTCATTCTGTAACAATTTACACCAAAACAGCAAGGGGAAAGTACATTACGCAAAATATAAGGTAACAGGCAGATCTAATCCCTGCTGAGGTTATTACAGTCAGCGGCCTGCTTACTTTAGTAAAACAAAACCTAAATAAATCAGATAAACACTCAAATTGCAACTGTATACACGATAAAAATTGCATTAACGAAATAAGTCCATATGATGGGTTTAACATGGATGGAGGCTCGGCTGCACTCCGACACATCAAACAAACATTGCAAACATTGTTATAGTTTCCCACACACATTTAACCTTCAAAACCACAATGTCCCAGCAGATCAAATGTTCATTCAAATAGCTGAAATTGTCCGGATTCAAATAGATGTCCTCCTCAGTAAGAAGAAACCAAAAAGAAACCAGGTGAAGCGTGGCGAGATGCTGCAGACAATAATATTCCACAGTTCTCTCTGATATAACAGTTCCTTTTTTACATGTGAAGGAATAAACATTACACACAAGGCATGTTCACCATCACATTAAAAGCTGTTCATGAAGATAGGTGACTATTACAATTCTTGTAATAGTAATATTATAGGTGATATTTTTAACAGTAATATTCATGGTGTTAACAAAGTTCCTTTACACAAAAGCAGGTCCACAATAAACAACAGCTCAAGGTTTGAAGTGACACAGCAAGACACGTTTGTTTGTGTAACACATTTATACACAAGCCTTAGAATCTATGTCCTATATATACCAAATAGAAAATAACAACAATTCAAATACAAAAGGATAGAAAAAATAAATGATAATACACAGAAAAAAATTATAGGAATACAAATGCATCGTATGTACAGAGGGCGAGGAAATATTCTATTAGAGCATACATTTTCAGATGACACTCACAATTAGTAAAACAATTAGTAACATCTAGTGGTAATTGTGGGAAAATACAGGCTCAGTAACTCAAGGCTTCCACCGCAAACCTGTTTTTCTAATCATGCGTTTGGTCGTGTATCTGTATGCAGCTAATTTCCATCCTACTGGACCATCAGACTCACATTTATGACTGAATGCTTAGACCTCTGGGAAATACAGTGATTCTCAATTTTTGAAAAACCTGTTGTATTGATTGTTTTATACATTATTGTTATTTTGGGAGGCTTTGACAAACTACCTACTTTGTTGATTAGGTATTAGGAAATACTGAGGAATGCACATGCAGAAGTCATTTCAACTGCTTTAACCAGTTAATCATAAACATGTTATTCAAGCCGGAGAAGTCCAAAAAGTCAAGACCACCATTTTTTTTTTACCTGTATAATCCTGTTACTGTGAGTAGCGCCACTAATGGGATTTTGTCAAATTCTAAAGGCAGAGAACTGAGTGAAAGCCTATCTTTGTTATACTAACCTACACATATACATGGTTGCACACTACAAGAAACATCTGCAACTACACATACCTGTGACCCACAGGTAACCTAGCTCCAGTTGTGCTCTACACCATTGTGAGTGCAGGAAGAGGGTTTCCAACATTTTGGCATCCCAGAACTCCCTGTTTTGATTTTAGCAGTCTAAGCCACCAATCTGAACTGGTAGTCACACCCGCACCTCCATCACCTCTCTACACGCTTGCTGATTTCTGTATGTGTGTTTGCTTAGAATAGATAATAGCATTTTAATTTAATTGGCCCCTGATTCCCGGGTGGTGCCCCATATTTATTAATGTTGATTAATAATTTTATTATATTAATAATGTATTAATATTTCTAGAATATCTTTGCTGATAACCAAACCTGCCCCTACAAGATCCCAACAACAGAGACTGGATAGGCTTGCCATATAACCCTTTCTAGACAGAATCTTTGAGCAGTGCACGGCAAAACTATGTCCCAAATCCAAATCTTTAAAGAGAATAAAAAATGAAGGGTGCTCAAATGTGACAAAGAACTATTTTCAGTGCTCATTTCAGAATAATCAATTAAAAGATCAAACCAAATCTTATGTTGTTTAAAATATTACTCATAAATCCAGGTGGATTTATCAGTAATTTAAGTCTAGAACACTTCAAATCTCATGGCAAATATAACAGCATGTTCTAATCATCATTGAGTAAACTGATGTGCCTCCAGTTGTCGATTATAAGCTAATCTTTTTTTGTTTGTTTTAGGTATTAGACAATTTACACCCTGTGTCATGAAGAGATGCTCACAAGTCTCTGAGCTAGAGTCCAAGTCAAGTGTCAAGCCTCTGAGTTAAAGTCCAAGTCAAGTCTGAAGTCTCTCGTGGTTATAATGAATGTTGCATCACCTGCTGCGTTCAATCCAGGCTGCTTATAACACTGCATAGCTATAACAAATCCTGTAACTGTAACCTGTTTTTCACTTACAGAGCACAACCATGTAATGTGCAATGCAAATACTGACAGCTTATTAACTAACTTACTCTCAAACCCACTTTAACTAAATAAAACTGTAACGTTACATGATCAACAATAAACCTGTAACATGTTTTTCACAGAGCACAACCATGTAGCCTAATGTACAGTGCGTCTACAACTAGTCACAGTTTATAAACTATTGGCAGTCAACACAGAATCTCAAACCAGTGTTAACGTTATAACTAAATAAAACTGTAACGTTATAGGATCAACAATAAACCTGTCACCTGTTTGCAGTCAACATTTATAATAAACGTGATGGCAGCCAGCGGATCGTAAATGATTGTGTTAACCGACTATCACAAGTTTGGCAAGCAAACAAAGGCTAATTCAGCTTTTCATAAAGAACAACAGTTGGAGTTAACCTCTTGTAGGTCGTTGCTAAAGCATTAAATGTGTTACATAGGCAGGTTATAACGCAGGGAGGGGAATAACAGCAAGTTCATAAGACGTTTCCTAAAAATAAACATTGTTCACGAGTCCCCCACCTCGAGTCCAAGTCAAGTGTGAAGTCTTTTGAGGACAAGTCTGAAGTCAAGTCTGAAGTCACTGTGTGTGTGACTTAAGTGCAACTCGAGTCTCAAACTGGAGTCCCCATCTCTGGAGTCATGCCAGCCTGTTCTCATTCCCAGAGTGTCAAATAGCCACCTACGGAATCTGGTACCAAGGCACATGCCTTAAGTGCCATTGTTCAAAAGTACTACTATAAAAAACAGAAAGGTAAGAGTAAGGAGGTTGTTGGGGTGGATGGGTGGGTCAGAAACCGGACTTTGACCCAGGAGACCCGTGTGAAACAAAAAGTCAACATTAATTTATTTTAGTTATGTTACATAACTTATGTAATTTAAGTCACGTAATAGTCACAAACGATGATCTTTTCCAAAACCTAACCAAGTAGTTTTGGCCAACCATAACCAAACTGCAACGTTTCACAATTTTAACCACTAGTTTTATTTTCAAAAGTTTAACCACACATTGCATATTTATTGTTGCTAACTTGACCACAGAGCCCTACAGGTACAAAAACGATGCTAAAGGGGTACCCAGGGTGTTAACAAGTGACACCAAGGGGTCTTGATAAAGCTTCTATATGTGACACCCTGGGATTAAAATGGGTTGCTCATGCTGGTAGGAGGTGTAGATTGTGCAATGCTCTGTGGAAATACTTCAAAAGGGAATGGTGCAAGCATCTTAGAAAAAAAGCTTTGTTTTGATCATTTATGGCATCTACACCCAGATAGCAAACATTATTGAAACAATGTTAAAATCATAGCTAACTAAAAATCAATGTGACTTCAATGTTATTTCAACCAATATTACTATTGTAACAACGTTGAAATGATAGCTAACTAACAATCAACTTGACTTCAATGATATTTCAACCAATATTACTATTGAAATGACGTTGAAACTATGTTGAATCGGCATTCTGCTCTCAACGCTAATTTCATTGAATCAACATCATACTGTGATGTTGATTCATCATCATTTTGCACCCTTTTTTAATACTGAAACAACGTCATAGCTAATTAAAAATCATTTACATTTAGCTGACACTTTTATCCAAAACAACTTACAATTGCTATACATGTCAGAGGTCGCACGCCTCTGGAGCAACTAGGGGTTAAGTGTCTTGCTCAGGGACACAATGGTGTATGGGTCACAGTGGGAATCAAACCCAAGTCTCCCACACCAAAGGCAAGCATCTTATCTATGCGCCATCACCACCCACATAGCAACATGACTTCAATGTTATTTCAACCAATATTAAACCACATAAAAGAGCCTATAATATATTAAAAATGTATAAATGACAACCCAGATAGCAAGACTACATTGAATAAATATTGATTTTCCATCTGAATCATCAGAATGGTTGAGATTGAAATCCCAACCCTAAATAAATGTTGAATCAATATTGCAATACTGATGAAAAAAAAACATGTATGAGCGTGACATTGGAATAATATTGATTTATAGTTGCCCCGATTATACTTGATTAAGCATTGATTTGTAGTTGATTGGGTAACAACAACAATGTTGAAAAAATTTATAGCTGACCAGAAATGACATGATATTGAAAAGTCATCGAATTATAGTTGACAGGGGACTATGATTAAAAAGTCATCGAATTATAGTTGACCGGGAAATATGATTGAAAAGTCATCGAATTATAGTTGACCCGGAAATATTATTAAAAAGTCATCGAATTATAGTTGACTGGGGAATATGATTGAAAAGTCATCTATTTATAGTTGACCGGGAAATATGATTGAAAAGTCATCGGATTATAGTTGACCGGGAAATATGATTGAAAAATCATCGGATTATAGTTGACCCGGAAATATTATTAAAAAGTCATCGAATTATAGTTGACTGGGGAATATGATTGAAAAGTCATCGAATTATAGTTGACAGGGAGATATGATTGAAAAGTCATCTA